TTACTGAGGTTTGTAAAGTTATATCTGGAAACCGTTTAAGAAGTTGGCCTGCACACCCCAGAAAATTTAAGGTTTCTCAACTCACTGCTTTCTACTCTGTCCTGTTTAGACTCACAGTGATGAATTGGATTCCATCCAAAAATGTCTCTGTGGTAACTAAACCTCATGCAGTACTCATGTACAAATTGGGGATGGGATTACCAGTTGATTTTGGCAAACTTTTCTTTAATACTATAGGTCATCTTGCCCAGAAAATTTCACCTTCTACTCATCTTCCTTATCCTTCTCTCATCTATTCCATTTTACTCTCTCAAAACTTGGGCCAAGATGACTCTGAATATCTTCACACTCCACAAGGCATGATCACTGTATCTCAAAAATTTCTAAGAGCTCCTTATGTCCAAGATCTTCCCTGGAATGGAGATAATTTTCTCTCAAGTGAATCAGGTCAAAATAATTTGGGTACTGAAGGTGTTGCTCCCAATGTTGACAACACTTCTAACATTCTTGTGTCTGTTCCTAGAGATCTTCTGTTACAGCAGCTTACTCACTCTCTAGCTCAGATTACCTATCACCAGACCATGGTGGACATGCTCCAAAAGGCTCTTTCTGATCAAAAAGGGGGGGAAAAAGGTCATGAAGCTGAAGCAGGAACTTCCCACCCTTTGGATGCCAGAGGCAGAGGGCAAGGAGTTAATGAAGAAGGAGCAAAGAATGAGGGTGAAGAGGAGAGCAGTGGATCCAGTGCAAGTGATGGAGGAGCAGCAGCTGACACTGAGGAGACTTTTGAGATTCTACTTTAATTATTTTCATGAACAATATTTTGATTTAGTTCTGTTTATTTTTCCCCAGAACTTTTTATTAGGACTGCACTTGGTTATTTCTTTTTTTTAGTTTTGTTGGACTATCTTGCTGAATTTGTTTTGAATTGTTCTTTCTAAATTATGTTTGGTATTTTCAAATTCAGGGGGAGTTCAAGCAATATCTCAGGGGTAGTTCTAGCTAAAATTTAGTTTTGATCAGAAAGTTAAAAAGGGGGAGTTTGAAACACGTTGTTAGTTTTACAAAAGTGTTTTTTAACTCTCTTACTTTTAACCTAAATTTTAGTTATTACTTAGTGGGCTAAGTGTTATGACTTAGTGGGCTAAGTAGTGATTAGTGGGTCTAATTGTGGATTTTATTCTAACTTCCTAACTAACCCACTAACCCATTATCTTGAGTGCTCTTGTGGTTGGTTTCCTTGCAGATCATGGGCTGAGGAGTGGAAGCTTGGCAAGTCTGTAAATACCAAACTCAAGACTCAAGAACATTACAGATTTCGAAGAAACATAGAGAGAGCTGAAGTTTTAATCTCGAGAATTTTAGAGTGTTTCTAGGATCTGTTGTACGTACTCCATATGAGTACATTCTTTGAAATCTAGAATTTTTAATATTTTTCTTTTAGTATCTAAATTTGATTGTAAGAATGATCATGAGAATGATTCATTCATAAGGAAGAAGTTTTCGCACCTCTTCCGTTTGTATTCTTGGAATACTGATTTTAATATATTTTTCCGTCCTGTAAAGGGCAAGTTCACAAGTCTTTACTTGTGAACATTTTTTTTTAATTCTGAGCATTGTCTTTTAATCTTTATATTTCCGCTGCATGTTTTCTCAAGTGTCACAACACTTCAGATAACATCTCTGTATAATACGAATTCGGGACCATAAATTCTTTCATATATATTTATTAAACAGTACAACGTAAAAAAAAGAAATTGTTAATAGTTTTTTTATTGAATGGATATTGAAATATTCCAAAATATTGAAAATTAAAAAAGAAAAAAAAACAATTGTACTTCTTTATTTTAATATTTGAATATAAAAAAAAAATATTTGTTTTCTGAAAATTATTAGAATATTTGTAAAAAAATTGAGTATCCTGAATTTTTTTCAATAAATATATTTTGAAATATTGAAAATATAAATTTGATATTTTTTTCGAATTTATTAAAAATTAAATTTGGAAATAATATATATATACATGTGGTAAATGTTTGAATGAGTGTACAAATGTTAAATAGGAAAGAACTAAAGTACATACCAAATTAAAAATAACAACTAATCAATTGAGAAATCCACTTTATCAATTTAATTACAACTAAGAAATATTGACAAATGACATAGACATTTGCTACATGTCATTCATATAGGGCATATATCCTTTTTTTATATTATATGTAGATAGTCAAATACTGTCAAAAGGATAATACATGAAAATCCACTTAATTGTTTTGATGAATACATATATTTTCATGCAAAAGATGGGGTCTATGGAAAGTATTTCAAGAATTTTTGAACTACTAGTAATGGTGGTCGTGCGTTGCACGGGGTCGCATTAAAAAAGGGAAGAAAGTAATAGTTTAAATAAATAATAGAACAAACTAATAAAAAATCTATCAAATAAGCTATGAAATTATATTGAAATTACATTGCTATTACAATATTTTATCGTAGCATATATTTTACCGAGAGTCAATATATGAAATATATGTCAAAAACAACATATCATACAAATTTAACAAATGAGACGGCTATTTCAGAATCCAAATACCAATTGTTTATCATTCATTACACCTGGATAAAAATTAGTAATTATTTCTTGGTGTACTTCTTCTTCTTCTTCTTCTTCCCTCCTCCTCCTCCTCCTCCTCCTCCTCCTCCTCCTTCTTCCGGCCTCTTCTTTTTCTTCTTCCTACTTCTTCCCACGTTTTGTTCTTCTTCTACTTATGCTTCTTCCAGCCTCTTCCTGCTTCTTGGACTCCTTTTGTTCTTCTTTTTCTTCTTCCTCATCTTCATCTTCCTTTTCTTCATCTTCATCCTCTTCCTCCTCCTTCTCTTCCTCCTCTTTCTTCTCATCTTCTTCATCCTTTTCTTCTTCATCCTCCTCTTCTTCCTCCTCCTCATCTTCTTTCTCTCCGCCTTCTTAATGTTCGTCATCTTCCTCGTCTTCATCTTCCTCTTCAACGTTTCCATGCCTCTTCTTCTTCCTTCTTGTCATTCTTCTTCTTCTTCTTCTTCTTCTTCTTCTTCTTCTTCTTCTTCTTCTTCTTCTTCTTCTTCCATATTCTACTTCTTCTTCTTCTCCTCCTCCTCCTCCTTCTTCTTTTACTACCCCTCCTCCTCCTCCTCTTCCTCATCTTATTCTTCTTTCGCTGGAGTTTTCCATCAGTTTAAATAATATACAGTCTGTAATGTGGTTTGGGTAACCGTCAATGTAGGAATGCCCAACGCCGGACGCCTCACCTTAGCCTATTGTCGAAGAAAGTGCCCCGAAGGAACGATCGCCGGTGGTCACCACCATTTGACGTCTCCTCAGATTACTCCCTTCGAATGGGCAACCGTCAATGTAGGGACACGCTCAAGGGGACAAGACGAGCGTAGGCGTCGAGAGGAGAGTGGCGACAGGAGGCGCCACCGTCCCTACCACTGCGGAGGCCCTTATGGAGGCAAAGAAGGAAGCAGAGTGCCCCAACCCAAGGAGAGAAGCCGACGTCGTTCAAGGGTTGGCGACGACAATGAAAGAAACCGAAGGAGGCAAACGAGTCGGCACCCTTCACCCTGGTGAGAGCGCATCCGGCAAGAATAAGCCCATTCATCCCGGCCATCCTAAAAGAAGCCTTACCCTTCGGGTTTCGAATTCTTGATCTTCCACAGTTCGATGGGACCGCGGATCCCCATGACCATATAAATTGTAACACCGCACCTTTCCAAAACCCTAAAATCCAAAAATAATATTACTAACTCGAGAATCCTTAGGTGATATTATTACGTGATATTAATTATGTGAATTACGCGACTTACGTGAATAATTGCATGCATTATTTAATTATTCGGAATGTGGTGATTACATGATATTTATTCTGTGAAATTTGTGAGTAAATATATATGTGTGATTTATGTGATTTAGTATCATTTAAATTTCCGTAAATTGAAATACTAGGAATTTCGTGAATTACGTGACTTACGTGAATTATATTTTTAAGATATAGTACTAAAGTGTGATTATATATATATATATATATATATATATATATATACACACACACGCGTACATACATACACTACATGCATACAATATACATTTTCGTGCATGCATATATACGTATGAACACTTATACATACTATTACATGCATCATTGAGTATACATATATATGTGTGTATATTACAAACCTATAAAGATGTAGTGCTCTTATGAATAGTGCCCATGTAAATACTTTTGATTTTCTTTTCACACCAAAAAGCAGGAAACGACACCGTTTTTAGTGAATATTCCCAGCCCAAAGAGTTGATGCAAATTAATTTCCATTTAAATTTAGTGCTGTATTTTTGGTCCGTCCAAAAATAGTGGGGCCCTTCTATTATTTTCCTTTCCTTTAAAACAATAACCACTCGCACTCACGCGCTGTACAACGTCGCCCCCTTACCATTTCACTTAAACTTTATATTGTTTTTATATTTTTTTTTATTTTTTCGACGTCGTTTTGTAAAAAACGTAAAAGTCATCATAAATTATCTCATTGTTGATGTTTTGCCAGTAGTAGCTTCTATAGGCTAATAATTCACTTCATTCTTGTTGCCTTCTCTCTCTTGTTCATCTTGTTCTTTCTTCAGCTTTTCATCCTTTCATTTTTCTCTTAAAAAATGTAAAATTGGATTTTTTTGTTGTTATTTTTCTCACTTTTCGTAAATTTGAATACATGTTTTGTGCTACAGCTGTATTTGTTTTTGTTTTAATTTAAGTCTAAATTATATGCCTTTGGTTTGATTTTCTCTGAATCCAGTTTTACGGCCTTCACTTTTTTACAGGTTTCTTTTATCAATTCTTTGGTGCGTGATGATCTTCAAAATGCTAAAGGTTCCCTCGATTTTACCGGAAAGTTATTCTTCCCTTTCTTTGATTGTATATATATGTATGTTTATTTTTGTTTTACTTTTTGAGGATAAAGGTGATTGTTTTTTTCTTTTTTCTTTTATTTTCTCTTCATTCATTTTTTTTGGTATAATTTTTCGGAAATGCTAACTAACAACCTTCCATTCGCAAGATAAGTTATGGGTATATTTCTCTATTTTTTCTTGCTTCGCTATGTATTTGTTCGCTTGTATATATATATTATGCAATGAATCTGGTTAAATGAATTTAGTTGATATGCTGATGTGTATTTTAATCCTTTGTGATGGTCTGATGCCTTTGTATTATGAAGATTTTTTTTTTAAAGTTCCTTAAAACAATTCATCCGTAGCAATTTTAATCTTGGGTGACTTCATAAACTTCTTTGTGAAAGGTGACTACAATCTTCCATTCGCAAGATCATTTATGGGTATATTTCTCTCTTTTTTCATGTTTGGTAATGTATTTAATTTTTATTGTATTAATGAATGGAAAGACTTTGACTGCAGGTATATTCATATGTGGTATAGTGCTCCGCTGATGAGTTCTTCCTTCCGCCTCCGTCAACCCTATCCCCGTGCGTTCCGTCCAAATCAGGTAATACATGCTTGTATATAGAAAGGGTATAATGGTGTTTTTAGGTGCCTCAGTAATTGGATCCTTGCCTTCCGTCCAAATCTAATTTTGTTGTCTCTAGCCCATTTGGATCTCAGTTCTTGTATTCGTTAGCCCATTTAATAAGTATTTGATGTGACTTTTATTGGCATTAGATTTTCGCTTCACTTTATCTGTTATTTTCTCTCTCAGTTAGCACCGAAAGTATGGTGGCAAGCGAGATCCCTCCACGAAAAAGCTTCAAGGCTTGTTAATGGATTCATCGGTATATTTCTCTCTTTTTCTTGATACTTTATGTATTTATGCGCATGTGTACTTTATATATTGAAATGTGTATTTGTAGATTGAAAGGAAAGAGAGATGATTATTAGGTGTTTGACAGTATTGTTTTGGGGTACCAGTCTAACTCTATCTATTTCTGACTTGGTTTTGCCGATGTTCTCGTCAACTCAAGAACATTCACAAGTGATCCATATCTGATCAAAACCCTTTTGGTTAGAATTTTGAAATTGGCCATAATATTTGTTTGTTAAATTTAATCGTGTACATACATGTTTGTTAGTTGGCTGGTTGAAATTGGATTGTCGTGGCAGTTTTAAAGTTAAATGAAATTATTTAAATGATTTACTTTGAATGAGACCAGATTATATACTATAATGCAACACCAATAGCCCCCCTCTTGTCATGGATATTTGCAAAGTCTCAGGTTAAAGAATCCAATTGGTGAGTTGATAGATGTAAAATGAGGAGTTCATTTCCAAATTGCAAAATTCTCTATGATTTTGGTAAATGTATTTAAGGTTCTCAGTCTATACAATTGTTTATCAAAATTAATGCTGCATCTGTGATGCAATAAAGCCGTAAATGTTTCATGCTCAAAGCAGCGTATTGTGATGTCTAAATTACTAGAATTTGTTGTACATATGGCTACATTTATTCCCATTAGATTGATTGGTTGTTGGTAGATTTAAGAAAGTTCAACACATTTCCTAACAAGGGCTTCGTGATTCTAGCCATTTACATTGCTGTCGGCAACCAAAAAGCGCTTCGTGATTCTAGCCATCTTCATTTTCGGTGGCAACCAACAAGGGCTTCGTGATCCTGGCCATCTCCATGCATTTAGGTATTAATTTTGTGATTGATCTCCACCTTTGTTTTGTTCTCATTTTTTCCCAATTATTCCACATTTGCGTTCATTAAGTTCTTGTCTTTCTTTGTTGTTTTCTTGATGATATTTTTGAAAATGTTAATGAAAGGCCACTTCAGCCGACTTTCGGCAAGAGGAGGGAGGGGTATATTTTTCTCTATTTTTTTCGTGTGTTTCTACGTGTGTGTGTGTGTGTGTGTGTGTGTTAACATCAGGTTTTTCTTTCATGGATTTAGGTATTGTTTTCATGATTGAATTGTCTGTCCTTGCTTTCATTTCCAGCTTACTTGGGTGAGAGCCTCTCTTTTCTGTATATAATATATGCAATGACACCTTTGTGTTTTCAGTTTCTATGCAGGTGAATTTAGTTTGTTTGTTGATGTTTATGTCTTTGATGTATTTGTCATTTGTGTATCTTGTTGGATCCCTATTTTGTTATCTGGTGCGTAAACATTGTGAGTAAAGCTTCAAACTTTAGAAGATCTAATCTAATGAAAAACCATTATAAATGCTGGAAAAATAATTGACTCATCAATCCATTTTAACTTGTTGCGAGTTTTAGTATGTGATATGATCTACAATGGACATTATGTACCGCGTGTGACGCGGTAACACCCCCTAGTATATATATATATATATATATATATATATATATATATATATATATATATATATATTAAACAATCTTTAATTTTGATTAAAGATCTTTAATGTCCGAATATGTGTGTGTGTGTGAGAGTGCAAGTTGGGTTTTATTTTAAATAAATAAATTAGTGTTAATTTGCATGCCTTTCCACTTGGCACACACTAATCATTTCACTAATCTCACACTCAAAGAAAGCCCAAAAGAAACTCTTCTTTCTCCTTCTTCTTCCACATACCCCTCTACGTGTCTTCATTCCCCATTTCCACCGAAGCCTCCACCTCCACCGTCGGCCTCCTCTTCTTCCACCTCAACCCCAAATTTCCAAGAAAATCCCAAAATCAAAATGAAGGTCCCCTATTTAACCCTTGCTCTAGATTACACCAAAAACACCATCAAGACTTCTTGACTACTCACGGGATATAATAATACATCTCTCTTAGAAGCTCACACCATCTCCTTCAAATCAAAGTTACTTGGCTAGACTTCGGTATTTGAAAGCTTTTCCCTTCGGTTGTTTTTCCTTTCTTCGGTTTTAAGGTAAGAAATTTTGATTTCTTGCTGCAATTAAGAGGTATCAATAGTATTAAAATGATTTTCAAAATTTCTTAAAAGAATTGGAGTGATTTAGAACAATTAGGGTTGTTTGGGGAAAAATGGAAAAGATGTGTTGAGTGTTGATTTCTTGTTCTTGCATGCATCATCTATGTTGGTAGTGGGTAGATACAAGTTTTATTGGCCAAAACTCAGAATTTGGCGGGTAGAGGTGATTTAAGTGAGGAGACAGGAGCTCTCGAGCTTAGAGAAGTTCCCGAGGCCAGACAAAGGTATAGGGGGAGTCCGGATAGAGGACCCTTTAAACCGGTGGGCCCGATAGGAAGGCGGCCTGCCTGCAGAAGACCGTAATGTAAGTAACTCAGTGCCTAAGAAGAGTTCGTCTTGGAAGAAGAGAATGAAATACGGACAACCGCACTGGTCGTAATAGATCGACTTTCATGCTGGAGCAAGAACTAGCATGAAAGTTCCATTTCACGGAAGGACGACGTACAAGCATTGAAAAATTCGGATTTCAAAAAAGGGGTTGCTTGAAAAATGAAATATTGAACTTTTATGGGGTTGCATGTGTAGATCTAAAGATTTTTGGGTCAAATCCGAAATTTTTAAGAAGTCAGCCATAAATGTGTTTTCAAATCTGTTTTTCAGCATTTAGTGAACAAAAATTTCGGATTTTAAAAAAGGTTTTGCAAGAAAAAGTGATTTTGAACTTCTAGTGGTCTTGCATGTATAGATCTAGAGATTTTGGAGTAAAATATGTAATTTTCGAAATTTCTGCCTCAAGTGACTTTTTAACTTTGTTTTCTGCATTTATTGAATTAAAATTTCAGATTGTTAGGGGTTTTTCATGAAAAAATGGATTTTGAACTTTTAGTGTGGTTGCATGTGTAAATCTTGAAACTTTGGGGTCAAAACTGTAATTTCCAAAAAAATAGTCATTTCTAAATTTTGGAGTCTGTTTTCCAGCAAGTATTAAATGGAGAAAAAGTTTTCTTTATAAAGGTTTCAAGGTTAATTAAGGTTAGATTAGAGTTTTGAATTTTTAAAAGAAAAAGGAAATTTTCTAGTTTTTTTTTATTCCAAGAAAATTCGAAACTTTATGCAAATTTAAAATAATTTCAGAAACTAAAACTTGGATCAGTTAGGAGCTCTAGGATTTAAGTTTGGAATGTTTAGAATTGGTTTGCTATTATTTCGAAATTAGAACATTTTGCATGTCATTTATTATGTGTTGTGCTTTAATTTCCATGCCTTTGAATAAATGACTACGAGTGACGAAACTTGGGATTTTGTGTTAGGATAATAGACTAAAAGTCTCTCTTTTAGCTACATTTTCATTATTGAATTAATAAAATAGTTTATTATCATTTTATGAGAATCTGCACTAGGGTATTCAATGCATTTAATTGATTGTTTGTCAATTAATTAAAAGCATAAGTCTAATATTCTAATAGTATTCAAAATGGTGTGCTACGGCGCACAAAAAGATCATTTTGAAAGTTCGTTTAGAATATAGATAAACGTTCACAATCTAGATGGAAATGGACTACCCATTGGTAAAAGATTGTAGCACAATATTTAAGTGATTGGTCTTGATCGCAGTAAACAGAGAATAACTTTTGTAGCTATTGTTTTGACTTATTGTGCTAGCACATCCGGCATGTGTTGAACCGGACAAAGTGAAATAATTGTTTCATCACTGTTCATAAAGGAAACTGTATTATTTCTAGTTGACGGTATATTACTTACTCTCTTAATCCCTAGATAATTAACGTACACATTTGATTGATGATCTCTACTTCGATGTCACAATGGGAGAGATTCCTATATTGAGTCAAATGGCCCCCAGTGCGTTGAGTAGAGACATTAAGAATTAATAGGTGGAAATTAATTATCAAAAGGAATCCACATCTCTGAAATATTGGATTGATAATAACCCTTGAGTAGCTTATAAGATTTGTTTATGCCAAGTCCTGGCCAGGTGGATTTCGTATCCGGCATACTCAAATAAGTTAAGCAGGTAAGACTCATGAAAAAAACCATTTAATTTATTTAACAGTGAATAAATTATTTGGTGGTTATAAGATATCTTAGTGTGGGAGAATCTAAGTAATGATCGACCGGATCTCGAATGTAATATTTGAGAATATGAACGGGAGTTCAATAATTATTTGGTAATGGAAAATAAATAATTATTTAATGATTAATTAAATAAATTCTTTTAAAATTTGGATTAAATTAATTATTAGTTGCCCGATTATATTTTCTCCTTTAGTCCCTATTGTAGCCCATTGGATTTTCTAATTAATCGAGAAAATAAAGTTCAACCAATATTATATATTGGAATTAATATAGCCGAAAATAAAGTCCCCATTGGATTGCAATTTTCGACTATGTAGAGTTATAGAAGGAGTGAAATTTGTTTCCATGTAATCCTCTCTATGTGTGACTCTAATTCCTTGTGCTATATATAATAGATATTGGGTTGATGAGAGATGATTAACACGCCTATTCACGTTTCGGAGAAGAGAATTTTTTTCTTCTTCTTTTCTCTCTAAGTTTCTCGATTATAGATTTAGATTTCTTCAAGTACAAGTCCACCCTTGTAGAAGAATTGTTAATCGGGATATACAATAGAAGATTATAGGTTTTAAGATCAAACTATTATTCCCAACATTTCTGAGCATGCGAAGAAATTCACCATAAATCAACCGTTTGTACGATTGGCTTGAAATTTATACCGTAGCTTCTTAACCCATAGAACTATAATATGTTCGAAGGGTTTCTCCATCGGATCAATAATTTTGGAGATACCGGTGAAGCCTGCGAAGAAATTCACCATAAATCAACCGTTTGTACGATTGGCTTGAAATTTATACCGTAGCTTCTTAACCTATAGAACTATAATATGTTCAAAGGGTTTCTCCATCGGATCAATAATTTCGGAGATATTGGTGAAGGAAGATGGCTGGATATTTCTGGACAACAATTTTTTTGAGGATTGAAGGCTTGACGTGGATCCTTGTTTGTGCGCCGAAGATAGAAACGAATCTGCTCGCGAAAACTGTAAGTTGCTAGATTAGATTTATTTCTCTTTAAACGAATCTAACCAAAGCATGTGAATAAAATTAAAACCGGCTAATCTAGAACCTCTTGCGAATTTTCATTGACTTCTAGGATTCACATCCCAACATTTTGTACCTTAATTTGCCGCATGGATGTGTTTAATTACTGCTGGAATTTATTGAAATGAAATTATTGCCTAGATGTGGTAATAAATTCATTAAATGAAGGATGAAAAATGGGTGCTTGCTTTACAAACATGGTTTGAATATTGAATGGTGGTGTTTTAATGTGTTGGCTGCATGTGTGTGTGTGTGTGTTGAATACGTGTGTGTGCGTGTGCTGAAGGTTTGTGTGTGTGTGTGTTGTGTGTGGTTGTGTGTATTTGTGTGTGTGAATTTGGGGATTTTTGCCCAAGTTATAAATATGTGGTAATTTGTGATATTTGTTTGGTTTTGTGGCACTTGATTGATATTTGTGATGTTATGTGTGGATCATATAATTGGGGAAAATTACAGTTTATGTCCCTAAACTTTACCACTAAAACGATTTATGTCCTCAAACATTTCAATCCACGAAATATGACCTCAAACTTGCCACTTTTGATTACTTTATGTTCTGCCGTTAACGTCGGCAGCTAACTTCGACGGAAATAGCACACGTGGCTCACGTGGCGTCTATGTGCCGTTAAATGTGACGTGAAATAATATATTGAATATTAAATGTTGACGTGGCACAAGAATATACTAATTTCCTCTAACTCACTCTCCCAAATCCCAAATCCCAAATCACGTTTCACTCCCATTCCCAAATTTTCAATTCAATCTCCATTGTTGCTCGAACCCATACTAAAATTGAAGTCATAAACCCATAAAAAATCAAAACATTCTCACATTTGAAGAGTTTTTCCCTTCTCAAAGAACAACAGATTCACGTGCAAAAAAATTTAGAAGAAGCTTTAATTCTTCTCCCAACTCCGTCTCTAGAACGTTGGGGTCTTGTGATTTTTCACCTGCTGATGCTTGTGCCCCTTGTGGTCTCGATGAAGCAAGCACAAGGATGGTGAAGATAGCACAAATTCTACCTAGTTCAGAAGTTTCAGAACCTGCCCAGAAGGTGTTCGACAAAATGTCTGAACCAATTCCGAAAAAAAAAAACATGCAGCACTTGTCAAAGCTGCATATAATTCTTTTTTTGCCAAGAATAGAGTGCCCAAGAACGGATTCCAGCTCCCCGACTTCCCCAACGAAGTGGAAGAA